AAAGGAAATGCTCAGCAAGTCGAGCATAGTGATAGACAAAACAGATGATCATAGAAAAAGGATGTAAACTGTGAATGATCAATATAGGAAAGAAACAAAGGCAGGAAATGGATTCAAACAGATATCCAGGAAATTAAAACCACTTGAACAAAACTGCAGACAGACTTTCAGGCCTTAAAGATAGGATCTCAGCTAGTAGTTATGAAGAAAAAGGTCTTTTACAAAACACAAAAGCTCAGGAATTAACAATTCAATAGCTGCAGGATAATAGAAAGAAAAATAATATAAGAATAACTGGTGTCAATTAAAAATCAGAAGTCAACACATATAGCATTGAAAAAAAAATGTGGAGAACATCAGAAAATTCCCCAAGCACGTAAAAAGAAGCTGACACACAGTTAAGTGAGGCATATAGAACTCCATAATCAAATAAAGCTAAACCTAGACAAATAATAATCAAGATTCCAGAAATTCAGCTAAAAAATATGAAAAGTTGTTTGAGAAAAGAAACAGATCATCTATAAAAGAAAGCCCATCAGAATCATGGAGGACTTCTCAATACAAACCCTCCAGTCAGGAAGAGCTTGGAGTGAAGGATTTCAAGTCCTGAAAGAAAACACTTTCCAACCCAGACAACTATACCCTGCAGAAATACTTTCAAAATCAATAGAGAAATAAAATATTTCCATGACAAAGAATTGAAAAAATTTATGACCATCAAACCAACCCTACAAAGAGTATTAAAGATATTCCAGACAGAGACAGAAATGATCATAATTCCAAGAACAGTAACAGAAAGAAAGCAACAAGCAGGGCAAGCAATTAAACAGAGGGAAAAAGCAGGAAAGCAAGCAGAAAAATAACATGTCAAAGATGAGCCAAAATGTATCAGTTATTACCATCAATGTAAATGGTCCCAACTTACCAATCAAAAGAAATAGATTGGAAGAATGGATCAAGAAAAAAGATCTACCAATATTCTGTATATAAGAAACACATTTACCATAAAAACAAGTTCATGAGTAATAGTAGAAGGAGAAAGAACAATACAACAGGAACCCTGAAAAAAGCATGTTCTGTTTGGAGATAATGTGAACTTCAAACCAAGATTGATCAAAAGTAAAAAAGAAGGTCACCATATCCTTGTTGGAGAAAAATTTAAGAAGAGATAATGAGCAAACTATTTAGGCCATATATATGCACCAAATACAGGAGCACCCCACTATATAAGACAAATATTAATAGACATGAAAAAAATCAAATGAACAATAAATAACACTATTGTAACAGGAGATTTAATAACACATTATCACAAAGAAATCAACCAGACAAAAATTAGCAAAGAGATAACAGAATTGAACCAAACCTGTGAACAAATGGACTTAGATGTTTAGAGTGTTCCACCCCACATCAGAACACACATTCTTCTCAGCTTCACATGGGATGTTCTCTAAAATAGATCATATACTAGCCCATACAAAACACTTAAGTAAATGCAAAGAAGATAAAAGAAAAAAATATAGATAGATAGATAACTATACTGATTTCTATTAGTTCATTGAAAAGAATGGTTTGTGTTTACCTTGAGTGATCAGTTTTTCATGCCTATATCTTGTAATCTGAGAAACTACTTTGAAGATAATACACAATATATTAACCATGGTTAATCTCCTATTATCTTGTTTCAAAATTCTGTATCATTGTATCTATTTTTTTCTACTTAAAAGGAAATATCAATATACTTTTACCAAAAGTGAGCCTGGCTTCAACTGCCACATCCAAAGCATTTCTTACACATGACAACTGCTTATTCCATGCACACATTTCACTTACACTGACAGCACCTGTACTTAGCTTTCCTTTCTTATGTGTCACATCTAATCCTATTTTTTGGAGGCTTGTTAGTACAACATGCATTTAACAGGAAAACAAGATATCAATAAAATAAAATATCAAATATATGAGTTTTTAGAAAAGCCATCAGTATTTTCACATCAACTCTTTACTTGCTTATAAAATCTAAAAGATAACTTCAAAAACAAAACACTATGTGATTCAATAAAAACACAAACAAAAGTCTACCACAGAAATAAGCTTTGCTCCAACTGTCACACTCAAGGCAGTCTTCACACATGACAACTGCATGTTCCATACACAAGCATCGATTACATTGATAACATATATATTTTGCTTTCCCATACTTCACTGTAGGTCCCAGTTTACATCTATTTCTTCCTGTCTTAGCATGCCCCTCTGGTGTGGCACCTGGATGTGCACTTTTGAGCTTACAGTGTGCTCCATGATTTTTTGTGTGTAGTTCCTTGGGCAGAAACAGGTTCTTTTTCCTCTGCTCTATGTACTCTCTCATAAGCTCTAGTCACAATACTCTAAGATAATCTGTCTATGATATTCTTATTTTTTTCTCTATAAACAATCAAACTATTTATGCCACATGTTCAGGATTGGATAAAATGTAACTATTGGCCCATGTTTTGTAATTCAAGGGATATCACATTTGCTGCATAATGCATCAACATCTACTCCACCTTTGGATTTGACTTGTTGTACAGAGTTTCCACACCAGGTTTTGTTCTATAGAGGTCTCCCTGTCAGTATTTCCATCATGGTGAAATGTTGATATCACTAGTTCCAGGTGGTTTTTCTTTTCCATCTATGAGGCCAAAGTTTTATCTTTTTGAAATTCACAGATTATGTAAGTCTCTTGAAATTGCAATATTTCATTCGGAATTTCTTCTTTGTTCTTGCATAGTTTCTATGCTGGTCAACTTGTACTTTGTTAGCAATCTAACATCAATTGGAAACTGATAATCCAACTGTGGAATGTCACATTCTGACTAGTTTGGGAAAGAGCAACAAGTCTTTTCACAACATCATTTGATTTATTATTATATTAGTAAGGATCTGATGGTTGAATTTCAGGATAAATTTCTGAGCTGAAAGCATAATAAATATTCACATCTACAAGTACATACAATTTATGTCCTATTTTGACCCATCAATTTTCAGTAAGTCAGCCATGTGTGGTGGGTAATGGTGCACAACTGTAATCCCAGCACTTGGGAGGTCAAGACCCTATCACGAAAAATTTTTTGTCTCCATAATTCTTTTATATTCCTGTGTTTTCTATAAGAAAGCTCGACTAAATACAGCAGATGTATAAATGCTTGCATTTCAACTAGTGTGCTGTCATAATAAATAATTTTTTAATATGGCTACTGGTACACACAGATGTAATTCAGACTTGTAATTCAGACTTTGCATAGTTCACAGAAGAGTATATGTTATAATTTCCACCATGAATGACAGTGCTGGCATTCTGTCCAATATCTTTCACCCCTGCCAAGTAACTCACTATATTTTATTTCTTTGCTTTATTTATTTTTAATTAATTTTATTGAGAAACAAACAGCAATGAGATAGTTTCAAAACTGATTAGTAGGACAGTTTCAATAATTAATACATTACATATTGTTGTCTTCATAGTGGTTATTCATAGTACAAGATGCAGACATGATAGCCTGTCCAAACACTATTAATACAAATCTTCCTTCTCATTGAATTAAGACCAACTAGCTGTGTATCTATCTTAACTATTTTGTATATACAGATACAAAATTGTCCTTCATTTGTATCCCCTTTTTTTCTGTTCAGTTTTGTCAGAGATGGGTATTCCCTTAGCATTTAAATATTGTAGGTACGTGAATTCAGCAAAATAATTCAATATAGTCCAGTACTCCATAACAGTAGTGGGTTACCTGTAGGACTGGCAATGTGAGTTGTTGACTTGAGCCTTTTACAGCTCAGCATATAAATATGGCTTTACTTTTTATACATCGTTTTTATACTTTTCTGCTGGATGCTTAAGACCAAGATAAAGCAAAATCTATATAACAAGAAACGTAACTTTTGTGTCTGACAAGGTCAGTCAAATCCCCTCAGGATTTACCCTGAAACCCTACTGCAGTTTGTAGATCCTTTGTCAGTGTCAGCCATGTGGATGAGCCATGGCCATTGCTGACCAATTTGTTCTCTGTGAAAGCCTGGGAGCATGTTTTCTCTCCATGCCTCACTATATTTTTGCACCTCGTTGTAACATCAGATTGTTCCATTTGGTTGAATGTCCATCTTGCAACACTTTAACTAGTCAAATATGTACTTACATTGCTGTTTTTTTATCATTTGGATCAAAAAGGTTTGTATTCCCTATGTTTGCATCAGTTGATTCCTGCTCCATTTTACTGCTACAGGAACTCTGGCTCACATGGCCAATGTCAAATTCATCATCATCATCACACACCCACACCAACTTCTGCTATGAAAGCGTGTGTTTTAATTTCCAACACTGAATGGATCATCTTCTTCATCCATGCATGAGTAATCTGATGATTCCCTTTCGACTTCCTCCAATACATGCAAATCTAGTTTATCGTGTACCATTGTACTGAATAGGGCTACTTCTACAAGAAAAATCAAAAGAAAATCTTTTTTTTTTTCTTTTTTTAAAACAAATCCTGGAGTAGTTTGGGTCTGCTGGATCTTCTGTGATGGCAGGAAAACATATACAACACAAAGTTACATGGAACATAATGTAAATTAAAAATCTCACCTTCCACTTTTGCAAACATCACACACCTTGCCATTTGTCACACCTACTGGGTAAACACGTCAGTTGCATCCTGTATCCCTAGGGAAAGGTACTGAGATGCACAGTCAGCTACTATTATGCTAAATATAAATTTCCAGTAGAAAAGTAATGGGTGGCCCTGCTGGGCCTATTCTTATGTTTCTTGGGTAACAATAATATGCCTATTTATTGTAATAAATTCTTAAAATGTAAACATTTACTGTAATTTTTATCACATTCCATATGGAAAATTGAATTAAACAACTGAAAATAAATATTAAACAATTTAAACTTTAAAGTGGATACTTACAATATACATTCATATAATAGTCTATTGTAACTTAGTTTTCTTTACCTTTATTGTGTGTCTGCTTGTCTGTAATCGTTGATCAGATACTTGCTGTTGATGGATAAGTTTTTCATTGACTTCTTTATATTCCTTAGCAGACAATTCTGCTGACTTTTTTGCATTTTGGAGTATACTGTTTTGCTGCTGCAAGGATATAATCCGCTCTTGTAATAAAATAATATTGCTACTTGATTTCTTGGGAGTTATCTTTTTGTACTTTTCTCTGTTAACTATATAAAAATAACACTCAGAATATTTTAAATGCCAGATTAAACATTAAAAGACAATATGCTACTAAATTCATATGTATTCTTACCTCTGGCTGGAACTACTGTATGTGTTCTCTTAAGTATATCATCATTCTTCTTTTGAAAAGCCATTTTCTTAACACTTTTGTAATCCTAAATTTAAAAGTTGTTCAAAATTTTGGTTATTATTCAACAACAATGCCAAATAAACTGTCTTCATCACTTTATCATCACTGAGACAAACACCCAACACCCATAAATTATAGGAGAGTTTCATTCTGCCTAACAGCTTTTAGAGGTTTCAGTCATAGTTGGCTTACTTCCAAGCAAAAATGACATGGCGGAGGGGCCTGGTGGAAGACAGCTGCTCATCTGATAGCAGTGAGGGCTGATAAAGGTGGGAGCCTGGGAGAAGACAGACCTGGATCACGTTCCCAGTGAACCATTCTTTCAACCAGGTCCTATCTCCCAACAGCATGTTCAGCTACAGAGGCAGCAGTGAATCATTCCACTGATCCAATTACCTTGCAAAAGCCTCATCTCTCAACAGGAAACTTTTGGTAGACATTCCAGTCCTAAGTCATCACATGAACTGACAAAATAAGTAACATATCCTTATTTAAAATAAAGTTTAAGAATTCAGAGTTAAGAAAAAGTCTGATCAATAAAATTCCATAAATGATACCTCTAATGTAGAATTCACAAATAATTCAAATTCGTGTTTAACAGAAATAAAGTAAATTTAAGGTTGAACTAGTATGCCGAAGATATAGATAGAAAATTCACTCAAAAGAAGAACTTAACCTAAAGACAGTTTTTTTAAAAGTAGTATTAAATACAGTAACAACAACAAAAATAAAATATAAATATTTAATAATTTATTGTCAGGAAATTTAAGTGCTTTCCTCAGAATTTTCTTGACTGGATGTAAATAAATGATGCTCAAATGATGCTGACAGTAATAGAGTATCTTTATCTGAAGCTGCATGTTTTCCTCCTGTCATTATTAAAATGACTCTGTGACTAAATTAAATGGAAACATCATGTAGCATTTAGTTCTAAAATATTTTACCAATTTGAAAATGATTTCACAAAGCACAATTTTGAATAGAAATGTGTTTCAAAGTAAGGGCCAGTCAGATAGCTGAGTGGATTAAAGTGCCTGCTTAGGCAGACACAGGATCTGTGGTTCTATCCCTGGAGTGTGTTGCCAGCCCTGTCCCTGGGGCACACTGAGACAGCAATTGAGACTGGGCATGGTAGCATGTGCCTGTAATCCAAGCTCTTGTAAGGCTGAAAACAGGAGGATCACTACAAGTCCAATCTGTGTAGTGAGACCCTTTAGATCCTGTACTAAATACATTTTAAAAAAGAAATGTTCCAAAATAATGTAATTCCTGGCAATAAAATATGTAACTTTTAAAAATAATTTATAGACTAAGGAGCAGGAATATATTCAATTTATAAATTATTTTTTATAAGAACTTTGTCAAAGATCCCAGTTCAGGAACAAAAAACTATAGTGAACTCAAAAATAAATTGGCCCTATATTACAGTGATAATGAATTACATGCTCTGCACTAAGAAAGTCATAAACTATGTAATAGATAAAGGATGGCCCTAACATAATGAAACCCCCTTATTGCATAGATCTATACCAGAAACACAGAGTTAAGATAGAGTTTTCCTTAAAACTAGAATAAAACCTTGCATTGCCAACAATCTGTTTTGCAACTATTCCACAAGACAGCGAAAATACCTAAAAACATTTTTTTTCTTTTTTTAATACTGGGGATCAAATTCAGGACCTTGCACTTCTCAAGTAGGTACTAATGCGTTGAGCTATCATTCATTTAAAAACTTTTCACTCAGTAAAAAGCAATATTTTGCAATAGGAATAGTATGTAACACGAATGTCACATGATCACAACTGAGCCAGTGGTTGCTCTTCATTCTTGCTCTCCCTGGCACTTTCTCACTCTTCCTCTTCCTTCAGGATTGTGGGTAATCACCTCCCTAAAGCAAAAGCTTATGGAGATCTGTCTACAGAAGAGGTATACAAAAGTAGAGGAATGCCACATTTCAAGTGAGAATATGGAGACATAAAAAATGTGGAAACTGCAAAAGTCTGTAGGAAAGTGACCAGCTTAAGGCTGTAGTAATGCCAATGATGAGTCTCTACTGACAGCATAATGTCACATTTCTGTTATATAGGTATAGGATATATATATATATATATATATATAATATAGTTATATATATAGTTACATATAGTTATACAGATATGTATTTGAAATACCTCATTTGAATTTGTTCAAAACTTTCATGTAAGATACAGTTTTATAAATGTTTAATGCTAGGATTTTACTAGAATTTAAATGTTGATCATATGCCAAGTGTATTAAAACACTCCTGGGCCAGGGAGATGGCTCAGTGGAATAAACGCTTCCCTGGCAAGTGCAAGGGTCTGAGTTCAATCCCCGGTTCAGAAAAAAAAAAACAAAAAAAAAAACACTCCCAACTGAATTTTCAGTACAAGTCACCAGCTGCAATATCAAGTTAACTAGACCTAAAATAAAAGACAACTGATCTTCTGTTTACAGAATTACTACTAAAACAGAAATCCAGGTTGCATATATCTTCAGCACTAAGACCAAAAGAGATGAAGTAAAAATGAAAATCCAAGAAACTTAACAGTATGTTGTTCCTTAAGCCCTGAGGTCCTAGTCTATTTTCTGCCTTCCCTCTAATGTTCGTGTTGTTTTGTTTTAATTTATCTTAACACAATCACTATCAAAATCCCCAACAGATGTTTTGTTGGACTTAAGTGATTTTAAATTCATTTCGAAGCATAAAATACTAAGTATAAGGAAGAAATAATAGAGAATGTTAGACATGGAGGACCTTGTTCTAGTAGCAATTTAGTCTACTATAAAGTAATAAAACAGCACTACTCAGAAAAATATAGGACGGTACAGAAGATAAAGCATATATATATATGTATATATATATATGTATATGTATATATATGTAAAGTGCATTTTATTTATGTCAAAGTCATTGCTGAACATAGTAGGGAGAAAATTCATGACAAACGTGGTACTACTGAGAACAGTGGGAGAAAAATATGAAACCTAATTACTACTTTAAGTCATATGCAAAAAAATCAATTCTAAACACTGACATAAAATCAACACAGTAAATAAGAAAATACTGGAAAAAGATAACACAAAAGGTAGTACAGAAATTTATCCAAGTAAAACTTTTGAAATATCTGTAGTACCAAAAAAAAATTGCTAACCATAAAGGAAAACAACATTGGGCCAGGTATGGTGGCACATACCTGTAATCACAGCACTTAGGAGGTAGGAAGTTGAGGTAGGAAGCTTACTGTATGTTTGAGACCAGCCTGGCTAAAGATCGAGTTCAAGGCTAGCCTGAACTGCACAGCAAACCCTGTCTCAAAAAGAGACATACTTATAAGTGAAACAAATCAGATCCACATGTGTAAACATAGTATTGTTTCCTTAGTGTAAGAAACTAAAAGAGTAAATAAGATCCAAGAGGTATAATAGATATTATGAAAGCAAAAGAAACTGCTCAAAAGGAAAGAACAACCAGAATGGGGGAAAGGAGAAAAGAAACAATATAGCTAAGATACTTGTACTACTAATTTCTATTGTTTCATTGAAAGGAACAGTTAGTGCTTATATTGTTTGATGAGTTTTACATATCTCTACCTGGTATCTAGGGAAATACTTTGATTAATATGCAATATACTAATAATTGTTAATTTCTTATCTTGTTCTTAAATTCTATTTTGTTTTATTATTTTCTTTAAAATATAAAGACAAATACATAAATTGCATCAAAGTATAATTGAATATTTTCACTATATACTTCAAACACATTCAAACTTTTAAGACTCAAATTTAATCACTAGTAAAATCAATGGATTTGAGTTATAAAGAATAAGATAACATTTAGAAAATAATTAATAAGCAAAATTTTGTCTTACCTTTGTGGTCGTGTCATCCACATTTGAATACATTTGTACTATTTTTTTCCCTTGTCTTTGGTTATTTTCTGTTTTATCACTTTGTTTCTGGTCTCTTTTATCTTCTGCGGGGCTTATTTTTTGGGATGTTTCCACAATAATCGTTCCCAATTTTTGAGAGGTCTGTGTTTCAGAATCACTGCTTTTACAAAGGGAAGAAAACAGCATAAAATTTAAGAAAAGATTGTACATATTACTTCATTAAGTTTTAAGACCAAGTGATACAGTATAGATTGTATAACAATAAGTGTAAGTTTAATTCTGAACAATTTCCACTAAATGTTAAATCAAAAAGCATATGCTTTAACACTTGAAGTATGCCCCACCATCTAAGTTAGATCAGCAAGTTTTAATTTTTTGTGTTCGTCTTTTTTTTCCCATAATTTTATTGAGAAACAAATAGCAATGAGAGAGTTTCAAACCAAATTGGCAGGACAGTTTCAATAATTAACACATTGCATATATTCTTCCTAGTGGTTAATTGCTGTACAAGATGCAGACATGATATCCTATTGACAAACAGAATTAGAAAAAATCCCTCTATTCATTAAGAGAATGTAACTATATATCTATTCTAACCATTTTGAATACACAGATACAAAATGGACATTCATCTGTA